TGGTACAGAACTAAAGATGCAGTTCTCTTGAGTACTGTGGTTCTTCAAAATGATGCTTTCTTCTACTATACCACTAGGTTCTTTATTTAGTAAGTATTTGATTAAATCAGATGAAGAGAAATTCTGCATCTTGAAAACCATTTTCTATAACTTCTGATAAAAGCAAAAGGCAAAACATTCAAATTGCATGTTGTTGCAAGTCTTTTACTTACTAAAGGAATAATATTCATTGTGGATTAGATTCAGCCCTGACTTAGCAACAGCATATACATACATACATACCAGTAGGAGAACAGTGTCTGTTGTGTCAGTAGCTAGTTTTATATGATCAAGGATCTGTTAAAAATGAGCAAAATTCAAGACAAATATAGGAAATCCTTTCTAGGGTCCATGTTGTGAACTATATGCTGAACTGATTATTACCAGGGTTCAGTGTTGATTGAACTACATAAAGACATCATAATGCATTTCTTCCTTAAACAAAAGTATATTGAATTAGAAATAATGATCAAACTGTTACCTTATGTCCTTTTCAAGGAATGAGCCAGCAACCTGATCCTGCCTTTAGCAGGGTATCAAGTCCTCCCAATGCCATGATGGCTCAAAGAGTTGGACCTTCACAAAATTCAATATTGCCACATCCCCAGGCTTCACCAATGTACCCAACGCCAGAGATGAAGGGATGGCCTTCAGGAAACATTGCCAGGAGCAGGTGAGAGAAAAATCTTGGCATTTTCAGAACGACAGTGACAGCACAAATGCAGGTTTTCAATAACAGGAGGAAGCCCTTTTGTTTGCCTTTTTTTCTACTTTTGCCTCAGATTTTAGCTTAACTGTAGCTTGATGTATCAACTGTCAGCAGAACCTTAAAACTACAAAGAGTTAAAAAAAATGGAAACATTCTGAGAAACGAGCTCCAATTGCTCATTCCTTCCAGTGAGGTTCCACTCATTTCCTTGGATATAATGCTCTCTGCATGGTTGAGAGACTATATAGACCATGTGGTCTAATTAATGTAACTTTTTATCTAGATCTTAACCTGAACATGTTACTCTGCTAGATATAAATTAGATTATTCCCACTTATATTTAAATAGGTAGAGTGTTGTGTTCAAATAAAAGTTAGAATATTTGATTTTAAAAATGTAGAACTTTTTATATTGCAGACTTTAGCTATCTTAAGAAATATAAGAAAAATAGAAATCAGAATTAATCAGAGTCCCTTGCTATCCATCATCTTATATTTGCTCACCTTGAATGACCTCTGCTATTTTTAAAGCCACTTCGATATTGATGGTATTGCTACCATCTCCTATTATGTCTTGTGAAATTGCAATTATATTCAGTAATTTATCTTTTTTTTTCCGTATTCTTGTGTCCCGTAGTTCTTTTCCACAGCAGCAGTTCAGCCACCCAGGGAATCCAGCAAGTTACAATATGATACACATGAACAGTAGTGGAGGCCACATGGGCCAGATGAATATTAATACTATGCCTATGTCAGGAATGGCCATGGGTCCTGATCAGGTAAGCGGCATTCAGTTTCCACAGATCACCAGCCATGATCAACTCCTTTAAGTACTTTAAGGTAGAAATCTATGGAGATTCTCAGTCATCCAGCTCATGGCTGTCCCAAAGGAGCTTTTTCCAAAAGGCAACTGGACTTTCTTGGTTTTTCTTCCTTAAAAACGTTTCGCTTATCATCCAAGAAGCTTCTGCAGTTCAGAACTAAAAAAGTAACTTTGGGACCAAAATTCATTCTGCAGTGTTCCAAGCACCAATTGCCAATTAATTTATGTTTATATGCTTAATCTCTAGAATTGCAATATTACTTTCATCATATTCTAGTGTTTGTTTCTCTTATATTTTTCTATTGTTCTTTTCTGCAGAAATATTGCTGACATATCCCGCCAGGATCCCCTAACTGGCTGATGCCATAGATGTTGGTGAACTGTATTACAGAAAAGTGCACAAAGTATCATGTCAAACATGTAGCCTTATGGAAAAAAACCACTTCCTTTCCATGAAGATATCCTTAGTGACTTTATAAGTTATGAAGTTTGGATGTGATGGATAGAATCAAAATGTCACTGTATAATGTTACAAAAGGGTCAAATATTACTTTGGCATTCTACCTATAGAAACATAGCAACAACATTTGAGTAAGTGTAATGGGCAGATAGTTTGTATACTAATTCTATTCAAAGCCCATAACCACAGACCAAAGTGCCTGGAGAAATCCTGGTAATAATCTTGAGTTACATAGTAAGAACTTCTGATAAAATGTAGCTCTTGGCCTTGATGTAACCATGAAACAAAGCAGTCAATTGTCATGCTGCTGTTAAAGTTGCTTCCGTATGTTGGAATTTGGATCTGCATATTACAACTCATACGCATCATAGAATCCAAATTATGCTTTTGATGCCAAAAGGTTTCAGGGAGATACGTATAATTATGACAGAGATCTCCACCCTGATGTGCAGATTTGTGCACTTTACAAAATGATATATGGAAATGCAGTATGGTTAAGAATGATTGGATGGAACCTCTCCCTTTTAAAGATCATTCTAAATTGCAGTTACATACTGTGTTTCTAATCATGGTAATTGAAGCAATAATCACAGTTCCTGAACTTCATATAAAACTCAAAAAGACATTGGAGTTTGAAACAAAAAATGTTTGTGAATATGTTTTGTAAATATCTTAAGATGTTGTACGATAAATATATGACTTTTGTAGGTCACTAACTCATTTTTGCAGAGTTTGTGAAGCTATTTAACAAAAGATAATTTCTGTAAACTCAATTTAGTTAAGAGGCGTCCAAATAGGATTTTTTTTATTATTATTTAAATGGTTTTGGAGCTGGGTAATTGTAGCCCTTGTTGTCTCTTGGTTTCTGACAATTTATTTAGAAAATTATGTACTGGCTTTTTAAGATATTTTGGGCATATTTTAGTGGTCTTAAATTTTTCTCTATACTTTAAGTGTGCACTTTGTTACTTTTTTTAATAGAGAGCAATTTGATGACAAAAAGGCTCATTTTAGCTGTTAACAGTTTGTTGAATTTTTAATATAATCTGCTTTTTCAACAAAAGAGCCTCTGCTCCAGGCCACTTGGCTAACTTTTTTAAAGAAATTCAGTGTTACTCAGAACATGTTTTTGTGTGTGTTAAATGTCTTCTGTCATCTGGAGGCCAAATCTCTTGTGTAACTTCCCCAGAATCTTTTGTGAATGGCAATTAATCAATTATATTACGCCTTATTGCAATATGGGCAACAAATAAATTTATTTTTATGCATTACCCTTCATATCATTATCTACAACTTTAAGGCTAGAAATGCCATATTTTTTCTTTCTCTTTATGGCAAATAAATGAAAGTCTGTGTATTGCCTTTTTTCCAGGAAAATAATTGTAGTGATTCAGAATGAACTATTTCAAAAGGTAGATTAAAATGTCTGAAGCAGTGTAGTGTGTAGTTTCATTATTCCTATTACATTTTCAAATTAGTTCTTCCTGAATATGTAAACTGGTAATTTTGATTACAGTATTTGATTTGTATTGGAAATTTATTTTAACTTTTGCAGAAGCTTTGCAATTTTATCCTGAGAGATAGAATTTCTTTGCTCTCTCTACTCCAAGGCTGCTGTATTCTGAGCACACACTGAACTGTGGCCTTTTTATATAGTTCACCCAGTGATTGTATTACATTTTCTTAAAGTTGTCTTTTAAATATTTGAGTTTTGATCCAGAGTTATGTGTATTCCGATGTGCATATTTTCCCTGCAAATGACCAGAAGCTTCCTGATCCTTTTACTTTTTCTGAAATATCAGTTAATCTGTAAGTTAATGAATTATATTTAATGTTTAAATTGTAGTAGCTTTGAGTAATTATTTAAAGTAATTCATACGAAACTCCACATCTCATCACATATTAAAACCTTAATAATAAATAATTGAGGAAATATGTTGTACAGATTCATATCACAACTTCTGAGCATTCAAGGTGCCTCTGAATTGAGGTTTATTGTGTTGTAGACAAGTTATTTACTGTGTTTATTACAGTAAAAAAAAAGCTTTTTGGAAGCCATTTTCAGTGCAAAGGGCAACCTCATGGTGAAAAGCTAAAAAGCATATATGTGCAAAACATTATGAATCCCAAACTAGTTTCAAACTTGAAAAGGGCTGTTCTTACATCCCGTGAAGCATTCTGCAATATGAGAACTCTTCCTATGAAGTTGGAACAGTTGGTAAAATTTAAAGTTTTATAGGTCTTGAGAATTTTGGTAATAACTGTGAACTCAGTTGCTTTATAAAGTTGGTCTGTCATCTGACAGTTTCTATTTCCTTCTTTTTAAACTCTGGTTTCATTATTTCCATTACATTTTCAAATTAGTTCTTCCTGAATATGAATGAGTATTCCTGAGTATTTGTAAAATCTGGTATTTCCTGTCCACTGATTCTTTTCCCTGTTGTTACTTTATTGATTCCAACAATTTAAAAATAAATTTTAAGTACAAAAACAATCATACATTTCAAAAATTGCATTTTGAATCGCTACTACGAAGAAAAGTCTTAAGTACTGTTAATTCAAAGTATCAACTTTCCACCACAATTGGGACTGGAATTTTGGTGACAAGTCACAGTGGTTATAAATCGAGACACCCAAGTGATTGGACCTAATTTTAGATAGTAGTTAAGCGAATCACAAGATTATAAATATGAATCATGCGGTTGTAAAGTGAATCGCATAATCATAAGAACAGATCAGAAATTGGCAAAAAAGTTGCACACTGTGGTCACATGATCATGGGATCAAGCTCAGAGAGCACCAAGGACACCCTCATTTCAACCCTGAGCTACAAATATTCTCCTTTAAAAAGCAGTATATTTAGTAGCTGTAGTGCAGATTGTACAGCATTTGGATGGTTTATTATGGCAAAAAATTATCTCTGTAGTAAGCCCGTTCTCATCCCACCCAATTTATTTGCTGGGATGCATACTTTTTTTTTCTTGGTTTGTGCTTGGTTAACCAGTTTAGCTACTTTCTATCTAGTCTTTTTTCTTTATGCTTTTACTTTAGTAAAACCTTTTTCAGATGAAACCACTTGAATGTTGCACAAATTAGCATAGACAATTTAGTAGCAGACTGTCACGTGGCAGCAATGTTGAAATCCTTCAAATGAAAGCAATATTTCTTGTCTCAGGAGAAAGGCCTACAGCAGGGGTGTCAAACTCGCAATGTCATGTGATGTATCACAACTTTTTTTCTATAGTTGGCAATGGGGTAGACGCGGTTTCGCCATGATGCATCTGGCCCGTGGGCTGGCAGTTTGACACCCCTGGCCTACAATATTTAAAATTAATTCTGGAATTAGTTTACACTTAACATGACTTGTACAAGTGATCTTTACATCACACAAAGCCTCCGGTGGACACTGGCATTTTAAACAATGGGGGCCTGGGATGTGGTCTTGTTTATATGGTGTTAATTTGTTTTGTTTGAATATGGATAATAATGTAAATAAAGGTTTCTATTTGAAACTGAACTTTGGTGGCATGATTAAATCTTAAATTGTAAGCACTATATACTTTCACTTACATTTTTACTCCTCAATTAGATTCTGTCCTAATATAATTGACTAATATAAGTTAAATTTCCAAAATCAGGTGACATATAGAGTTGGATACAATGCATAAAGGAAACATTTTTCATTCAGAAAAAGCCTGAATATAATTGGTTGATAGTGTTTAGTTTCATAATTGCTTGTTATACATTTGATACTACGTAAGTTTCAACATAATGGTTCTATAGAATGTCTGCACTTATAATTATTCCATAATGTGATAAATATAAAAGAGCCAGCACAGACCAAATTCTATGGTTGCCACTTAAAGCTAACATTGGCTGTATGTAGCCCTTACTCATATTCAAATGGAAGTTCCTTTTCTCTATGCAGTTGTTTGAAAAACCAGAGTCAACATGATTTAAACTTAGATATATGCATGATTGTGGGCCACATGACAAAACTTCAACGAAAATTGTGATATTTTTGGCATCTCCCAGTCACTGCAATATCACTCGTCTTGAAATAGGGGATGTTGTCTCTCTTTAGGAAGCCATCACTTGATCTAACCATCGTAGATTACTAAAGTCCTGCCACCAAATTCTCTTTTTTAGGAAAGAAAGTAGAGAAAAGTCCTTCACTATTTCTATTTTGGGATTTTAAAAGCTCAAGTCTTTTAATTTCCTCTATGTGCCATATGTAAAAGCTCTGATATTAAAAATTAACATCTCTGAGAAAGATAATATGCCAACTTTGGGTGAGGCACTGGTACTATGCTAATAGGGCCCAACTTTGTATTTCCACTCATGACTTTACAGGAGTTGTAGAAATTTCGACTTTTGAGGAACTAACTGGCACAGTATAGGCTCAGAATGAATCCCACTAAGAGGAGTTCCTGTTTCTGCAGAGGCCTTCTGGTACCAGCAAAGCTCCCTGCTTAGCTATGGATAGGGCAGCTTTCCTCTGAAGGAGTGTGTGTATGGGGGTCCTCCTGGAACCATCTCACCTCACTAAAGCAACAGGTGCCAGTTGTGGCAGGAGAGCCTTCTCCATCTTCCAGTTGTACTCTTACCTGGATCAGGATGTGCTAACTATAATTTCTTCAGCCCTTGTTATCTCCTAGTTCTGTTGTTACAATTCACAACATGAATCTACTCTGCAAAACAATTTGGGAGCTGGAGCAGAATGCCGTCACCTGCTTTGCTCACTGATAAAAGATGATATAGAAGAATGATATAAATATTACCAGTGCTGGCTGACTTCTAGGTCTTATTTATTAGTTACCTATAAAGCTCTTTATGGATAAGAGCCATGCTAACTTCATGACTACGGTATTTGCTCCAGATGTATACGCCATTATGATGAGGCTAAGAGTTCTTCCCCTTACTGGGAAATCAGAGCTAGCAGAGTGACCTCCTTTCTCTGCAGCAGCTTGCTACTGAATGGCACCTCATTAAAAAGTGCTTCCTAGAAGTTTTGGAGAAGTCTGTTTTGTAAGGGTTGGGCTTGCTTAATTATGGTTTATTACTGTGGCTGTATGTATTTTTTTCATAGTTGTAAACCACCTAGAATTGTGTTGAGAAGGTTTTGTGTGTGGTGTTTGTTACAAAAACAGAGAGGTAGTCCTTGCTTAACCTTTCTTAAGTGGGGCTAGCAAAGCGGTTGCTAAGTGAGAATTCATGCGATGAATAACACATCTGAGGTTTCCAGTCTGCATGACTGTATTGCTTTCAATGTGCAGCTCACTTTCTTGCAATCCTTTTATTGCCAATCTCTCTGCAAGGGGGGAAAAAGAAAAAAAAAACCTCACAGGTCAGCCACAAAACAATGTGAATTGACAGTAATGGTGACCATGATGGATGCTGCCTCAGAAGATTGTATTGGTCATAAATAGGCCACAATGTTTTTCAGTACCACAGTAACTTCAATGAATGGCTGGTAGGCAAGCACTATGACTATATAAACAAAATAAAAAAAACACAATTTCTCAACGGCAGAAGATGAAATGTGTAGTAGAAAAACAATGAAGGAAATTGAAATTCTGTTTTTGATGTGTTCAAGTAATGGAATAAGAGAAATTTATATGAGACTGAATTTGGAAACAGTTCAGTTTTTAAAAAGTCAGGTCTTATTGGGAAAAGTTCTCTCCCATCCTCTAAGTTATGTTTGTAAATTTTCAGAAACGTATTTCTTCTAACATACAGGTATACAAATTCATCTTTTGGTAACAAACTAGAATTAAGTTGCTTGTATATTGATCATAGAATTATCTTTTTTAAACGCTCCAAGTATAAAAGTAAACAAGTGCTTTTTTATAGTAATAATTTTGTTTTTTTTAAACATACAATATAACCACAAAGACTTAATACAAATCCAACTTTGTTAAAATTCAAGACATACATCAACTGCTTTTAATTTTGCAGTGTTTTTTTTTTTAAAAAAAATGATGAATTCTAAAGTTTCATTATGCAGTGAAGTGACATTTTCAGAAATGACATTGGGGCATGCCAATATTTCAGTAACAAAAGTCCTCTGGATTGGATTTTTTTTGAAATGGAACACTGAGTATTTACATTACAATGGTGGAAAAGTGGTTTCTCTGAGCGCAGGTTTATTTTCTGTTTCTTCTGTCAAACTCAAGGAAGATGTGAAAACTGTGAACTAAACTGCATTTTGTGGTGGACAAAGAAGTGACAATATTACAGTGCTGAATTGGTGCTTCTTTTCAGTAATATCCTTTGCAGATCCTAGAATACCTTAGCAGATTTTTTTTTATCAGTGCTTCAAAGTTTAATTTGTCCAAGCCAGAAAGAAAAAAGAATTGTGTTACTATCTTCATTTGCCTTTCCAATGCCTTAATTTAAAGAAAATATAAAATGGTTTTCTGCTGAAATGTGATCTGTGCTTTTGCCTTTCAGGATTCTAAGGCTTGCGATGTTTCTCTGCTGTCCTCTTTTGGAATAGTATCTCAGGTGATTGACCAAAATAAAATAGCTTGTGAAGCAAGTGAGGTATAATCCAAAGCAAATGCGAATAAACTAGTAGGATACAGGATCTTGACAACAGTAGTCTCCAGAAGATAACTGCATCATTTTGGACTGCATCAAAATGCAAATATCCTATTTACCTTAGCATCAAAGTTCATCCAGTCCTCCAGGCTAAGATTATAATTCTGTCTGAAATCATACATACTTTATTAAGTCTGTACAAGAATTCAAGTTCCGGCCAGGTTGTATCCTCATTGAGGTCTAGCAGTTCTGGGAAATTATCCCTCCCAGCCTTCCCAAAGTTGCCCTCTGTGAAATAGAAATAAAAGACATATCATTAGTTCATTGTCACCATAACCAGTTGGACTAGAAAGGAGAAGTCTAATTTTACTAATTTCACACAAGGAAAAGAATGTGAACCACAGGCTACATATGGAACCTTCTATAATAGTGGAGATCATCATCTCCCTGAATTTTTAGAAGGAATTTGACATCTATATTAAGAACTGTGGTGGCACAATAATTAAAATGCAGTATTGCAGGCTAACTGCCCACAATCAGGCGTTTGATCCTGAGTGGCTAAAGGTTGACTCAGCCTTGCAGCCTTCAGAGGTCAGTAAAATGAGGACCTAGATTGTTGGGGGAATATGATGCCATTTGTAAACTGCTCAGAGGGTAAAGCAATATGGAGCAGTATGTAAATCTAAGTGCTATTGCTATATCTCTAAACATTTTATTGTCATGACCTTTAACTGGGCAAAATAGTGTATCATAGGGCAACAATTTTTGAGGAAGGAAGGAGGGAGGGAGGCAGGGAGGAAAGGAAGGAAGGAAGGAAGGAAGGAAGGAAGGAAGGAAGGAAGGAAGGAAGGAAGGAAGGAAGGAAGGAAGAAAGATAGATCTCGGCTGCATAAGATTCTCTGTCCTAATATAATGCTTAATGATTTTTAAACTTGGGCTCAAGTTTGAGCTCCAGCTTTTGCTTTAGATTAGCACAGCTGGAAGGCTGCTAACACATTTGCCTAATGCATTCCATACCATAGTCCTTGACTTATGGCCACAATTGAGCTCCGAATTTCTGTTGCTAAGCTAGGAAGCTCTTAAATGAATTTTGCCCAATTTTATGATCTTTTTACCATAACCGTTAAGTGAATCACTACAGTTGAGTGTTAAGTCTTTCCCCATTGACTTTTCTTGTTGGGCATCGGCTGGCAAGATTACAAATGGTGATCACATGATACCGGAACATGCAACTGTCATAAACACATGCCAGTTGCCAAGCATCTGAATTTTGACGTCATGACTGTGGGGCTGTTGCAACAGTTGTGTGAAAAAGTTATGTCATTTTTTTCTGTGCTACTATAACTTTGAAGGTCACTAAATGAATGTAAGTTGAGGACTATCTCTATATAGGCATAAGGCAGCATTCCACTCTGATTAGCAGGCAAATTCAGAATTCAGACAAAAAATATCTTTTCTAAGTATTGGGGCTCCGTGATATAGTAATTCAACTTTGAAGGTTCCATCATATTAGTACTGAACCCAGTAAACCTTTTGCTAGAGACTCCAAGTATTAGACTCCAAGAATTCTGTCAACCTACTCTCTGTGAAGATGGACTAAAATTAGAATATATGAAATTGTATATATACTGCGTGCAAGAAATAACATAAAAATGATTTACATGAATACATTTCAACTTACAGTGACTTGGAAGATTTTTTCATTTCTGGCCATTTTCGACGTTGAAACTGCCTAATTTTTGAGACACAATGGGAGAGAAAAATTAGTCAGATATCTTATTGAAGAAAGAAAAAAAAAGAAAAAGAAAGGAAGGAAGGAAAGACAGAAAGAAAGAAAAAGAAAGGAAAGGAAAAGAAAAGAAAGAAAGAAAAAGAAAAAGAAAGAAAGAAAGAAAGAAAGAAAGAAAGAAAGAAAGAAAGAAAGAAAGAAAGAAAGAAAGAAAGGAAGAAAGAAAAAGAAAGAGAGCAAGCAAGCAAGCAAGTATGCTGGGTAGGCAATAAAATATTGAACATTTATAACATTAAAGTACCAAAAGGAATCCAATGTTTTGCTGTCTTCACCATAACCTAATTCTATTTGCCTATGGATTATTTCAATATTTAGTGTAGATTTACTTCTGGAGATGGGGAAACTTATCATTAGTAGTAGTACCTGTATTGTTCATAGCTTCCATCTTTAAGACCTAAATAAAGAAAATAATACTAATTAACAAGAGTTTATGGAAACAAGGGGGGGGGGAGAAAGCATATTGTAAAAACAAAATAAACTATCAAAAGTTTGTTTTAAGGACTGGTACCTGCTAAACACACAGGTTTGAGAGAACAAAACCATATCAGCTGAATGTAGAATGAGGCAGTTCAATCTACCCAATTCAAGTTATATTCCTATTAATAAATCCAAAGCTGGTTCACATTTATGATGCCCCAACTTCAGCTTGATACATAGGCGAAGTAATGGACTACTGAATTTAAATAAAGTCATTGAGTAAAGCCATTCTCTGCACTTTTTTACACTGCTATTCCACAAAGACACATATAGCTATTAACTAATATTTTATCACTTTAAACAAAGTTCCCAATGTCTGTATTCCTATTTATCTTACTAGTGTAATACCTATGATAGTTTCTAGAATTTATTTATAGATTCATAATTAATAATAATAATAATAACAACAATAAAGTTGGAAGGGACCTTGGAGCTCATCAAGTCCAACCCCCTGCTCAGGCAGGTAACCCTATACCATTTCGGACAAATGGCTGCCCAGTTTCTTCTTAAAAACTTCCAGTGTTGGAGCATTCACCGCTTCTGGAGGCAAGTTATTCCACTGGTTAATTGTCCTAACTGTCAGGAAGTTTCTCCTTAGTTCTAGGTTGTTTCTCTCCTTGATTAGTTTCCATCCGTTGCTTCTTGTCCTGCCCTCAGGCGCAGGACAATTAGAATTGATGGAATTAATGAAGACCTTTCCTATAACATCTATATTAAGTTTAAGTGTGTGATTAAAATCTATCCCTGATTTAGATTTCCTGTTTAAACTACTTAAAGATATATACAAGTGACTTGAAACAGTATCATTCAAATCAGGAGTCCTCAACCTTGGCAACTTTAAGATTTGTGGACTTCAACTCCTAGAATTCCTCAGCCAGCTAGGAGTTGAAGTCCACAAGTCTTAAAGTTGCCAAGGTTGAGGACCCATGATTCGAATTATTGGAGCACACTCCTCTTACCAAAGTGAAATAAAAACAAAACTTACCAAGCTCCATGTTTCGGGTCCTTGGGTTGCATTGTTTATGGCCTTTGCAACTTCTCAGTTCCATCAGCTGCACATGCAGTTGGTTGAGAACATCTCTATGTAGTGTGTTTACTGCATTAATTAGCTGCACATAGACACAATTTTTAAATTACTGTGGGTATTCAATGAGCACAGTAGAGATTGTATCGATTTTTTTCAGTAAGATTATTATTTTTAAAAAAACGAGTTGCAGGAATAATCAAGGGGCAGACTCTAGCATTCAGCTCTAAAAACCATACCACAATTGTGTGCACAAGAAAAAAAAGACAAATGAACTGAAGTGAAAGGTTTATGTGGAATCTCCCTATCTAGCCAATCAACATATTTTTTTCATGAAAGAGACCCAGTGAATGTTTAAATAAATGCAGTTCAGGCCAGTCTGTTATTCTCTATGGGGAGAGCATATGAGTTGTAACATTCACACACACCCTCCACTTCCACCTGAGATAGAAGGCTGAGAGAAAAATGATTAGAAGTCTGCACAAAAAAAATGAAACAGTTCTATGTGAATGATTGTGGAAAATCTGGTGGGGTTTCCATATGTTCTAAAAACACTCCAAATCTAAAGCAATTATGTGTCCATTTCTGCTTTTCTCTGGATAGAAAGGGGTGGCAAAGCGAAAGGTGGACTCCTGTCAGTCTGCTGGGAGGGTGTGTGATCACTCCCCCCCCCCCAAACTGGATACAGGCACTGGGATTCCTAACACTCAGAAGGAAGAGGTACTAAGAGAATGTTAGATTTCTACCACCCTTTTCTTGTTTTGAAGAGATGAGATTTTGGTGGAAAAAAAAGTCGTAATGGAGGCAACTGTAGAATTGAACTTCATCCTCACCTCATGAGGATGATAATATTATAAGCTCTCATTTGTAACATTGCCACAGGTCATTTTTATGTATACCCAGGTTAGTGACTCCAAAACAAAAGAGAGCCAACAAAAGAAATCTGGTCCCTAGTCAACACACACATACACACACACACATACACTCAAAAGGCTTATACTGCCCTTTACTCCATTCTTTCTTACTTCATACTGCCCTTCCTATTGCTCCTCCAACTATTACTCTTTGTGAGACCTACTGCTGGAGAACCTCTTGACTAAGCCATTGCTGTGCTGGCTAGGGAGAGCCTTGAAGCAGATATGTCAAATTGCCAGCCTGCAGGCGGGATGCATCACGCTGAAACTGCGCCCAGCCCATTGCTGGCAATAGGGAAAAAGTCCCGATACATTGCGCGACGTCATGTGATGTCGCAAGTTTGACATGTCTGCCTTAAAGGGATGGTACCAGCAGGTGTTGGCCATTTTATAGGCAGCCTGTCATCTCACAAACATCAATACAAAGTTAATACAAGTTCATGATGGAGAATAAATTGTGGGACCTGCAAACTGAAGACATATAGAAAACATGAAGTATGGAAAAGTTGATATATATGAAAAGGTTTTCTGCAGCCAACATTGGTGGAGTTATATCTGACCCACTGCAAAATGTAGTGTGCCAATTGATGTTATTAAAAATGGTAAATTTAGAGTAGAATCTTTTAGGGGTTTTTTGTGTGTGTATGAGTCAAAGAAAGTTGATCATATGCAAACTTTGAAGGTTTTTTTTTTAATTACCTGGTAAGGGTCAGTGTTCAGGTCAAAGTACTCAAGGAAGCCAGTAGCAAATTCACAGAACAGAAAGTTGTGTGTCTCATTGATTGTCCTCATACACCAGTATGTGTTGTTGTTTGCACTGGTACAGGCACAGAAAGGACCCACTACAAATAAATGTTAACATTTGACAACAGTTGTACTTTCTAAATAATTTTAAATGCTTTACATGCACAGAGATATCTCTTACATGTCCACAAGGGGGCAGTCTGCCAGTGCTGGTTGTCATGTGTGAAGCATGTCAGGCCTGGCATGCTACATGTGTCATTATTTTTTATTCTTTTGAGCAGCTTCCTGAGTTTCTTCTTTCGCCTCTGTTCTCGGAGGAGCCACAGCTTATCCTTCTCCTGAAAGGTTTTCCTGAACATAAAGATCAAGAATTCATAATAACTTACAAATTGCCTCATAGATAAAACCAACTGCTTTATAGACCCAGAAGTCTAGCAGCAAGGCAGAAGGCTATCACAGACAATCTGAGAAGGGATTCACCTCCCATCTCATTTCCTTTTTGTATAATAGCAAAGTTAATTTTGTGATGCTAACTTTATCTTCTTATTTTTTGGTATTGAGTGAGTTTGAGTTCTGGTAAGTGCCTGGACTATTCCCTGCAGTTTTCTTGGCAAGATATTCTTTGGAAGTGATTTGCCACTGCCAGCTTTTTAGGGCTGAGAGAGAGACAAAGCCACTCCTGATTTCTAGTCAGATGCCTTAGTTGTATACCAAATTGGGCTCTTAACTTTACTTACTCCTATTTGTCAGGACTAAGTTTCTCTGTCCTGTTTGTCACCTGGCCATCATTATGCTTATATGTGTGTAAAATAGCCTCCAAGCCAATAATCCAAAATCCTTGTGGTAGAACTCTACTGAGGTAATAAATGTGTGGCCATGAGAGAAATTTTCAAACAAACACCATGCATAATAACACTTACCCCAATCTCAGATTGTACACTGCTACTTTTCTTAAAAGTCTGTGTGAAATAGAGTCATTTTAAGTCCAAGTCTCTGCAGGACTCTCCACGAAAGCATATATGACAAATGGCTGTTTATTCCTTGCTTGACCTGAAGATGTCCCATAAGAGGAATCCACCCCTTTTGTTTGATACATTAAGTATTAAAGAGTCAGAACTGAAGAAGCTTCTTGGATGAGAAGCAAAATGTCTTCAAGGAAAAACAAAGTCCAGTTGCCTTGAGAAAGAGCACCTTTGGGTCAACCATGGCCTGGATGACTGAGAATGTCCATAGACATTATTAAAGCTTAGCCTCCATGTTCCTATCTATGCTATGCTAGCTAACACAATCATACAGTTTATTTTTTTTTCTGTATTGCAGACACCTATAAAAATAAGACACTTTTTCTGAATACTGAAGTGGTTCGGTTCAAAATTATATTACCTCCTTCTGCACAATACTGTCTTCTTAAAAAATGATTTAGTTTGTAGATGAAAGAAGTCAACCAGTTACTTTGAAAGTCTCATTATATGCACAGCTAAAAGAGCAGTTTTCGATAAGAATCCCAAATAATTGTAAACCATGGCCAACACAGCAGATTACATTCATAATTTTCTCAGACTTCTTGATTACCAAGCCAGAAATAGTAAATTGGAACTACTTTACATTTGTTGTCAGTTTAAGATGACTCTGAACTTACTTGAAAGGATGGAGACCAGATCCTTTGTGCCTCAGTTTGCCTTTGTGTTTTGATTGGAAGCTGAAAAACAAATATCCCTACAATTATCTAAAACACAATTCTTTATATTTTTATACTTGTGCTTCTCTACGCTGAAACTAGGGGCAGTTTACAAAACTGAGAAAACCAAGGATAATAATATAAAACACAGTCCTCTAATTGGATACATGGTCCATTCAAAACCTTTGTTTTAGTTTGCTGAAAGGTACTTGGCTTTGGTTTCCATGCAGTAAAGAGAAAATACACAACAAACTCTAAAACAAAGAGAATCAGAGGGTTTCTCCAAATTTGTTCCCCTTCAGCAAATAAAGAAATAATCTATATTGCATCAGTTTAGGCTCCAGTTTAAGAGTTTCTTGTAACTGTTTAACTGAAAGAGGAAGGGCTACTCTTTGTATAGGGGTTTATTGGTTTTAAAGTAAAAAAATGACATAGACATTAATATGAAATAAAAGCTGGATGATAAGTTGCTTTCCTACTCTGGCTGGCAGGCTGAATTGCAACATGATCAAGTGAAAGGGCTCCACTGCCCAGATCAGGCAGTATTTTCCACTTTGACCTTTATTGGAGGTAGACTATTACAAATCTCAGGATTGCACTAAAACTTACTCACAATCACTGAAATGCAGAATGTGAAGTTAGAAAGAAGGCTGACACAATGTCTGGGTGTGAGGATATAACAGTTGGAAACAATTGGACCAAAAATTTATTATATTGTAAACCAGGAAGTGGGTCTCACGTCCTGCTTGCTAGATGACTTCAGATAAATAGTAGCACTAATTGGGCTAAAACAGAAACTGATATTCTTTCTTTTCTCACTGGCGGTAGCAGCTCCTACCATGCATTGAAAGGTTGAAAGGCTGCTGATGGTGGGGAAAGAAGGGACATAATTATAGAAGTCACTAAGGAAATGTCTCTGATAAGAAAAATATTCTGAGAGCAGAAGCAATGTCTTATGGTTTCTGCTTGAAAACGTACCACTATAATCTATTTTTCCGCAGTGTCTGGCAGTGGGAGAACAAATATTTATGCTTCTTTTGCCCAGCTTCTGCCATGCACAGAACAGGAAATTTTGGAGCTTCTTTGGCCATGGTGCCAAGTAGGGATGTGCAAATAGTCAGCTCTGAGCTTGGAAATTATTTTTAAATCTGGTGCGACCATATTCACTGTACTCTTAAAGAAGCTGCAACTTTTCCTGCTTATTTAGTACTTACATAATAGCAGAAAAACACAAATTTGAGTGTAGAAGGTCTTAAGGAGGAGGCAACAGGTGCCACAAGCTTCTTCAAGGTACCACCCACCCAAGATCTGAAGTAACTTCACCACCTCAGAGATGAATACTGTAGATCTCTGTTCCTAAGTTTAGGCAATGAATGGGAAGCTGTGGTCACAAGGGCATCTTGACTGAAGGGGATTTTGGCCAGCTCTGTGCTAAACATTTGCTCTCTAGTTACGCTAATTAGAAACATACCAGGGCTGTGTAATACCAGTTTGAATTCAGATTGACAGTAGAGAATTTGCTTTTAAAATTTCTTTCAAAGCAGTAGAGAATTTTGAATAAATTCTCATGGGTAGTGTTCTTGTATTTATTTACTTAGCACAGGGTAAGTGTTTGAATATCTTGTTTTTCATAGTACAATAGTCTCTACAACAGGCAATCAGTTAGTTCACTGATTTCCATTATTCACTGAGTTACCAAAGGAGGTGATCATAAGGATCCCCATTCAGAGGCTTTTTCCTGGTGGGAAATCTGAGCAACCAGGGAAGCTTCAGAGTGATTGAAAGATGTGTAACATAAAACAACATATCAGTGGTACGTCTTTCCAGTTCTTCCAATAATGAATTTCAATTTCAAGATAATTTAAAAAGCACTGGGGTATAAATCCCAGGGGCCTTTGTACTCCAAAGAAGTTGAAGATCTTTAATTTGTACTTTCCAAGGTCAGAAAATTTCAAATTTGGAAAGAACTTCCAAAAGAAAGTAGAGTGTTAGCTATGGGAAGGTAAGAGGAACTGGCCTGAAATGTTATTTTTGTTTTTAATAGAAGAGTGTGATGAGACGTGAATGTTTTTTGGTTTTCTTTTTTGCCTTGCTGGACGAGACACAATAAGGCACTGGAATTATCAAGGCACTGGAGGATACCTGACTTTAATAAGATAAAATAGTCTTGTGTCTTATACTCTGTCTAAATTCATTAAATTCACTTCCTCCTTATTGCAGTTTCTGACTACAAAGAGAAAGTACCTTATCTTGTTACAATCACATTCCTCCGGTCGCTTCTTCTTTAGATGACCTCTTACCTCTCGCAGGTTTTTAATTTTGTTTTGTAAAGTTTCAATCTAATAATAATAAAAAAAGAACAAATGGATGGATGCAAAATTGATTGATTTGGCTGTCATTCAACTTGCCCAGATAATAGGCATTAAATTCCTTTCTTTAAAACCTCTCTGTATCCCAGTTATTTTATTTTAACGTGTTTTTTTGAAAAGAAGAGTTTATGCTAAAATTCCAAACTTTAGCCAGAAATCCAGATTATTACTACAATTATCATATATTGTTAGCTACACAGTTCACTGGTGGAAATTTGGAAGCAGCAGCCAGGACGTTTTCTAGCAAGGAACATAATTTGATTTTTGGAGGAAGATTTCCTAACTGCTGTAATTACAGCAGAGGCGAAAGAAAAAAAAAATATCTACCACTTTTCTTTTATTTGCAAGAAAACCTTGAGAAACAGCCAAGGGAGGGCAATTTATACTAGCACGTACAAGTAAACTGAAAAAATTTGGAATGAATGTGGTTTTTTCCACTATGAAATGACTCATTTTTTGTTTTATTGTTTTTTTTTAAAGTTGGGGATATTTTAATTGATGGTCAACAAGTAATTCTCATGCATCATGTATCATGAAAGTTCAATGATCTATGGGTAATTTAATAAAAAATCCGGGGGAAATGATGTGCATTTCTGTCAATTTCTGAACTATCAAAAAGTACGACTTGTAGGTACTATATGTTTATATGTGCACTTTGAGGGCAAGAGGAAAATAGGAAAAACAGGGCAGTTCTAAATCTTTAATATACTGTTAATGCATAATTTTATATCCATTTATTCAAAAACTTCTTATCCATATGTTCCCTGCGCTGCCCTTTTAGTAATTAAGGATATTAAATTAGCTTCAACAATGCCCTTTTTCAGAAGGATTTGGGACTGAGCAGAGGCCTCCACAAAGAGAAATATTTTTCACATCCTCTGGCTTCCTCTACCCTTAAAATCATATCCAGAGGAGTAAGATTTCTTAAGGCAACGCAGAATGTGGCAAAAGGAAAAACTGATGATTATGGCTTCGTTAAGGAAAACTGTGTTAAGAATATGTTCACCTTTGTTAAGTTCTTCCAGAAACAAAAGGGAACTATTATATGCAGTCTATTTTGGTCAGCAAAATTGCCCGAATCACAGGCTGTTAAATTGATAATCAAAAAGCATCTTCTCCACAAGATGTTAATAATAATAATAATAATAATAATAATAATAATAATAATAATAATAATAATAATGATAATAATAATAATAATAAAAAAGTTGGAAGGGATCTTGGAGGTCATCTAGTCCAACCCCCTGCTCAGGCAGGAAACCCTATACCATTTCGGACAAATGGCTGTCCAGTCTCTTCTTAAAAACCTCCAGTGTTGGAGCATTCACAGCTTCTGGAGGCAGATTGTTCCACTGGTTAATTGTTCTAACTGTCAGGAAGTTTCTCCTTAGTTCTAGGTTGCTTCTTGATTAGTTTCCATCCGTTGCTTCTTGTCCTTGGCGCTTTGGAGAATAGCTTGACTCCCTCTTCTTTGTGGCAGCCCCTGAGATATTGGAACACTGCTATCATGTCCCCCCTCATCCTTCTCTTCGTTAAACTAGACATACCCAATTCCAGCAACCGTTCCTTATATGTTTTACCCTCCAGTCTTATTTCTTATTTCAAAGTCAATCCAGACATCAGCCAAAGCTGGTATCAGACTATTTAACATTCTGCCTTGCTGTCATTAAACACTGATCTTTTGAAGGGGGGGGGGGTCTGACAAGGCGACAACACTGAGAATTGTGCCTGTGAGAGTAAAGCCTGACAAAAAAGTCCACTCAAGGGTCCCTGGAATTTGGAAATGTGATTCAAAGGGTGATTCACACGGGCATAAACACTAACCTCATGGTCTATATGAAGCTTATGGTCCTTCCAAGCTTGTAATGATTTATATAAGTCTGTGTCACATTGAACAGTGTCATTCTCTAAAATGTAGCATCTGTTCAAAAAAAAAAAAAAGGAAAAGGTCATTATACTGGAGGCAATGACTAGCTGTTGGAAACAGACAGCATTACATTCATGAAGATCATTTTTTTTTTGAGCTAAAGAAAGAGGGGCAACTCCCCTACTGCAACCCGAGTAAACAATCTGTGCAATGGAAACTTGAATTACTTGGAGGAAAAAAATACTGAAATACTATAAATATTTTTTTTTAAAAAAATAAGTAAAATCTTACAAAGAAGCCTAAGTATAAAGACAAACACTGGCACTTAGACATGTTTGTGGTCTTGAGTATGCATTCCCAGAATTTAGACAAACATTTAACAAAATGTATTAGGCAACCTTGTTCTTAGGTGTAGTAATCCTGCAGGTAGTCCTCTACTTACACCCATTCATTTAGTAACAGTTTGAAGCTATGATGGCACTGAAAAAAGTGCCTCTCACAACCTCCCACTTGCAATCATTGCAGCATTCCTGCATTGCAGCATTCACTGACCACAATCCGGTGCTTGGCAACCAGTCTGCATTTACAGTGGCTGCAGCATCCCAGCATCATGTAATGGCCATGTGACCTTCCCAGCCAGCTTCTAGGAAACAAAGTCAATGGGGGAAGCCAAATTTGCTTAATGAACGGGGCAAAAATGGTCATAAAATCGCTCACCTGGTGACTCACTTAATAACTGCATTACTTAACAACAGAAGTTCCAGTCTCAACTGTATGGAAAAACTCTAACACTTATATAGTGTATGTTATATTATGTTTAATTGTTAAGCGGACACAAACAGGACCTTATTTGCTGGATTATGAAGCCCTCTTACTATGGGAATTACAGAATGCAGTTAAGAAAATATACATCTAGCTCACTGGGTTAAGCCTGGTGTTTTGCTTGTTTGTTCCCATATATTAAGGCAGAAAAGAAGCATGGTACCTTCCTCTGTAGAGCTCTTGGTGTTCTCCAAGCATGCTTTCGTCATTTCATTACCAGGCTAGGTAATATCATCAGTGCATCGAAGAATAGAATGTCCTGCTTGTTTATATGTAGCCTTGACTGCAGCATGGTGTCTTCCTTGATTAGGGCATTGTTCTTACTTGAACCATTACATTCAGAAAACACCAACAACCCAACAGTTCAATCCTGAGCTACCTATATTCTTTACTGTTAGATCTGTAACTTGCAATTTTCCCTCCTTTCTATGATGCAATGTACAATGTCCCCCAATAGATAAAATGATCCCGATACATAGTGCTATATATGTTTGTATGTACATATAATGTTGCATATATATTCAAGTATATAAAAAACAAAACCCACAGCCTACTAATTAATCTCTTCAAAGACTTACCGGTGTGTCACTTTTATTAAGTTTGGTGTAGTGTTCTCTAAAATGCTGCCAGTGCCACTGTATTCCTCCATATCCTTAACATCATCAACTTCTCTTCTTCCTCCTTTTCCGCCACCTGATTCTTGATCATTTTTGTGTTTTGTGCTATTCCATGGTAAAACAGGTTGATAGCCATCCTCCAAATCCAAATTATACACCTTTCCATCAAGCTCAACAGACACTGAACGAACTGAACGACTTCGAATGTAGCTCGTTTTGTATTCTACATGAGAAATGAACACAATTTATGTGTATTTAGCAGGTCAGATATGGATTGACAGAAATTTATTGCTGAAAAATTGGTTAGATCAGAGATGGAAGAATTCTTTATTTCCAAAAATAATATTTTTTTTTCAGACAGTGATCTAATTCTATGAAAAGTAATCAATTCCTACATACATCATTCAAATTTTATTATAAATTTAATACTGCTAGGATAGACCTTACTATAATAAGGGCACATCATTTGCTTAGTTCTTGTTAAAACTTCTATTTTTCATATAATGTTATGATTTCAATTTTTGAAAATGTACTTTTGAATATACTGTTTATTTATTTATTAATAAAATTTATGTGCCGCCCAATCCCTAGGGACTCAGGGTGGCGTACAAAATTAAAACAATAAATATAACAATAAAACAGTAAAATAAGTGCATTCATACAGCATGTCCCAATCACATCCCGGCCCCCCTGGGGACATCAACCCCAGGCCTGCCGGAACAGGAGAGTTTTGACATTTTATTGAAAATTTATGGAAAAATTTATTGTTACTTACTAAGAATGACCAACCACAACCAGCTAAAACTGAATGCATGGATGGATGAATAGATATAAAAGCCAAAGGAAATGAAACTGCAAAAATGTATCTTGTTTTATATGACAGCTGAGAATAATTTTATTTTATTATGCTTGGAAGGTTTTAGAAAAACTAAATTAACTTTGGACTAGCTTTTCCTTGTGTAAATTATCTTCCAGCTAGTATGAGATCATAGAGTTAGAGAACTAATATGCATCTGCTGCAATATTCATTGCTCTAGGATTAAGAGCTGGCCTACAGAAGATCTTTAATGAAGATTTTATATGGCCTAAATTTAAGGAAGTAATCAAATAGTTTTTAGTGTATGTTCTTATATAGGGAACATACTTTTTACTGAAATGGTTTATTTCTACATTCTTGCCATGTGATGGCAGCAAAAGTTCAGAAAGTTAGAAAAGAAGTAAAAATAAATGATGCTCAGTGTGAATATTTCATGCATTCTAAAGAGCCACAGAAGAACTTTTATTAATGGTTTATGGTGCTTTTTGCTTTCAATTTCCTTTGAAACTGCTTTCCCGTCTACTGAATTCTGAAAAACAGGAGACTGAAGACTATTACTCCATATTTCTCATCTCTAGTTACTCTCTTTCAACTTTTTTTCCTATTAACCCAGCAAATCCCTGCTCCTTAAACGCCAGTTTCAAGCTTTGTTGTATTCTATTTCTCTTTCACAATTTACCCATATGAGTGAAACTCTAGATGGCAATTCCTCTTCCCTCTGGTCATGAAACCCCAGGAAGTTCCCAAATTTGAAATTCTCCCTTTCAATTCCCAGAAATTGCCAGCAGTTTCAAAGCTCACTAGATGGATTTTTGGAAACCTAACTGGATGGCTTTACCCTCGCTTCTCAGACTCAGCAGCATTGGGTAGGATAATAGTATTGATTCATATAGAAATCTATATCTGTCCACTATTTCTTATTTAATCTCATTTCTACTAATTCATAAGAAGGAGTCACTGTTTGCACAGCATTTAGGAGTGATGGGCCGGTAGCGTTATTCAGAGTATTCACAGAGTACAACAGAATTATTCACCAGCCTGGGATTCTGAATTTCCACCTGAGGCTTAGCCAGGTGAATCATAGCTTTAGGGGAAAAATAGGTTCTAATTTATGAAATGTTTGACTAAAATGAGGAAACTCCCTTCCCTTTTAATACTAAGAGGAAATTCTAAGAAGTTACACCCAAAAAGAAGAAACTAAAAAGAGACTTTCTCAGCAGGAATCTGTTTCCTTTGTTATGAACCTTGTGTTTCCATTTGCTGGTATTAAAAAATATACCCCATTGTAAAATCTGAATAGAATATAACATTTATAAATGCTGAACAATTTTCCAACAACCAACTAATTACCAAAAATGAATCTGTTGCACTGTTTGTCATTCAAATAAGAGATTTTAATACCAACCACACAGGAAGTGGTGTTTTTCAATGAAATTCAAAGAAGCAAATTCTTTTTTTATTTTGACTGATACTGTGGGTGCTCAAAGATCTGTAAAGCCTTCTGAATTTTCAATGTTTCTGCATAACTATGATCTAAAATGTGATCTGTTTACCACACAATTTCTAAAACTAGATAAAGAGAACTAATTAAATACATGAGTCAAAACAGCTTATATGTAGCTAGTTGGTCAGAGTTAGAGACCTAAATAAAGATAAATGAAAAATAAATCACCCTTGGGAACTTTTCATGACTTTTTAGACCCTAAATTGATAATATGCACTTCTACAAACTAAAAAAAAAGGGCTCATTAGATTAATTCTCTCACAAATCAGTTTTTCAATAGCAGACTAGGGAAAGGATGGGATGATTCTGTAGTTTGTTACAATATTGCACTGCAACATCTGGGACAACTGCAATAATTGCAGAGAAAATGAAGTAACGTTTTCTTAGAAAACCATAAACTTTTACTTGCGTAAGTGCACTAGCATTCAACTTGTTATCTATTTTCTCATGAAATACCATTCATGAACAATGGGAAATGAAACCAATGCAAAGATATTTTATTCCAAGTTGCTACCGGAACAGAGGAGAAATGGGCTGCCTCTAAAGAACAAAAAGTGGAGATGATCATTTTTCACTAGTTCTCATCAGCAGACCAGGTGCTACAGATGGTGGTAGACCAGGGCCCACAGACAGCAGCAGACCAGGTGCTACAGATGGTGGCAGACCAAGGCCCACAGATGGCAACAGACAGGTGCTATGGACGGCGGCAGACCAGGGCCTACAGACGGCCGCAGACCAAGTGCTACGGACGGTGGTAGGCCAGGGCCTACAGACGGCAGCAGACCAAGTGCTATGGATAACGGTAGACCAGGGCCTGCAGACAGCAAAAACCAAAAAGAGGGATTCTCAAACAACAAACTCATGGAACAGGTGACTGATACTATTGTGGTATGCAATACATGTTCCATGTATGTGCTTATGCCCAAAGAACACTCAAACTGTACATGCATTAAATGTAAACTATGTAAACTACTGGAGGAAAAAGTAAGGAACTTAGAGGCAACTCTAGCCAAACCCCAATCTACGAAAGAAAGAAAGCTATACCCAAACTGAACCAATTAATGAACAATTAACTCCCAGAGGATTTGATCCTACTGATAAACCCTTGAAGACAAGTGGAGGTACGTCACACATAGAAGAAAACACAATACTCAAAGAAAAAAGCAGCATACAACTAACCCCTTCTACCCAATCCAACCCAACCAGAAACAGCCCCATTAAAACTGAGCAATCAATTTCTCCCTTTAGATGGAAACACGCAGACCCACAACCTCCCCTCAAAAAAAAACCCAACTTCAAATATCCCTTAAAAAGTCACATCAACAAACACACCAGAGATAAACAAAAAAGCACCCCAGACTGCAGCCCCCCAAAAAGGAAGGCAAGTGTTGGTAATAGGAGATTCTATCCTCAAAGGAATGGAATCATCCATCTGCAGACCAGACATACAATCCAGGGAAGTATGTTGTCTCCCTGGAGCAAAAATCAAAGATGGGGCTGAGAACCTAACCAAAATAATTAAGCCTACCGATTACTACCCTTTCCTCATCCTCCACATTGGGACAAATGACACAACAAAGAACCTGAGTGCAATAGTGAGAGATTACAAACAAGTAGGCAATAAAGTTAAGAAGCTAGGAGCACAAGTAGTGTTCTCATCTGTACTCTCAACTTAAAGCCAACACCTATTGAGGAAAAAAAAATTCTAGAAATAAACCATTGGTGTCATCAAGAAAACTTTGGTTTCCTGAATCATGGACTGCATTTCCTACACGAAGGACTCCTGGCAAGGGATGGGCTGCACCTCACGAAAACAGGGAAAAATGTACTCGGAAAAAGACTGGCCCAACTCATCAGGAGGGCTTTAAACTAAAATTGAGGGGAGAGGGTGACCAATCTTTAGAATCTCTAGAACCTAAAACCAATCATAAATCCCAAGACAAACAAATCAAACAACGAGGTAGGCAGAGACAAGAAAAAAGAAAAACCCAAACAACAATCAGGAGATTCAGGAAACATACCCATGGATAGGCATAAAATGCTTTATATAAATGTTTATAAAAAAATGCTCAAAGCTTGGGGAACAAACAGGGCGAACTAGAAGCAATAGTACATGAGGGAGTGTATGACATAGTTGGCATTTCGTCCCTGGTGGGACAAAACCTATGAATGGAATGGACTGATGGATGGATACAAATTGTTCAAAAGAAACAGGTTTACAAAAAGAGGAGGGGAAATTGCATTATATGTAAGAGATACATATCTACAGAAATGCACATGATCCAAGATAAAATCTCTCCAGAATGTATATGGATCAATATAAAAGAGAAAAAAAGTGACATTGCCATAGGTGTATATTACAGGCCACCCAACCAATCAGAAGAAATAGATGAACTCTTTGCCAACCAGCTAACAAATGTATGCAGGAAGCATACCACAGTAGTAATGGGAGACTTCAACTATCCAGATATCAACTGGGAGACAAACTCTGCACCGAGTAGGAGATCAAACAGATTCTAACCAACCTAGCTGACAACTTTGTCATCCAAAAAGTGGAGGTGGGAAATAGACGTAAAGCTATACTGGACTTAATTCTAACTAATAGAGAAGAAGTGATAGAGGGAGTTGAAGTTGCCGGACCTTGGGCGAAAGTGACCACGTCATACTAGAATTTAATATAATGCAAACACTAGCAATAGAAAACAATCCAACCACTGTCCTGAACTTCGAAAGAACTGACTTTAACAAACTCAGAGAGCAACTTGAAAACATATCCAATTTTCTCTCTGTCCACCTTATACTAAACAAAAATGAAGTCTGGGTTATTCTAAGTTTTTTTCTCAAGATGATTTCAATCTCTGGACTGTCTAATCTCTTCTCCGTGCCTTCTATTAATGGCTTG